GAGTTCATCCTCCCCGCGGGGGCCCTCGACTTCGGTGGCCGCGTCTTCGTGTCTGTGAATGGCGAGCTCACCACGGGCACCTTCGTGGGTGCCAACACAGACCTCGACGAGTGGGCGGGGAACCGGCAGCTGTTCCTGATGCGGGGGGAGCCCAGGGTGCTGCCGCGCCGGCAGCCGCCGGAGCCCGTCCCCTTCTCCAGCGACGCCACGTTGCAAGGACGCCCGGACGACGATCTGGCTGAAGGGGCCGCCCAGCATGGGCGATACGGTCTCGGCTCTGATGTCGCGGAGCCCCGGAGGGTTCATGGCCTCCCACGAGCGCTGGCTGGTGGAGAGCCGCGTGCCGGCCGGCAAACGCTCGGCGCACGAGCACCGCCTGGTCTCGAAGTGCCCGGAGCTCGCGGCGTCGGTTGACGGGATGAACCTGGCCAACCTCACCAGCATGGAGTACCTCAACAGGCGCCGCCAGCTGCTGGAGGAGGCGCACAAGACGGACCCGGACAAGCCGAACTTCGAGGGCGCCCACCACTTCCTTGGCGAGGACGACGTCGGCGCGGGCACCCTGGTCGCGCCGAGCCTGCGGACGCACGTCGCGGGCGAGTTCGCCAGGGATGCGGCCATCGAGAAAGAGAGACGCAAGGCACGAGAAGCAAGGAAGCCACCCGAGACGGGCGGCAAGAAATCATGACTGACTTGATCCACTGCGGAGCCTCGGCTGGCGGCGCCGCTGCGGCTCGGCAAGACCAGCAATTTTTGGAAGAGGGAGCTGCCCCACCGTGGGCGTGGCCGGACGCCGTGCCGCCCGGCTTCAGGCCGCCGCCGGGACTTGAGAGACAGGCTGGGTGCCCGAACGACCTCTTCCCCCTCCCGCTGCTCGACTGGCAGGAGGCCGATCTTGGCTGCTGTGGCCGCGCCCGCTCTGGGCAACGGAGAAGGTGCATTCGTCGGGGCGCACTGAGTGACGTGAACGACTCGCTGACGGGCCTCAACGCTCTGCACGGCTGTGAGCGCTCGGCGGTTAGTGTGCCCAACGAGGCACAGAGGCAGGCACAGCGGAGGCTGCTCCGTACCGCTCGCGCTGCCGGACAAGAGTTCCCGACTTGTTTAACATGAGTCCCCGTGAAGCTGCTAGTGAGCTTCTGGGATCCCGCCTCGATTACCTGGGCTCGGTTACCACGGTCGTTCCTTATCGTGCCGACGCCCTCTCCCTTCCTCCCGCAGGACGGCAGCCCGTCAGCCTTCAGGGCGTTCTCGACCCTGATGCCGCGCTCGCCCTCGCTCAGTTTGAAAGCCTCTTAGCCGAGCCGGATGTCCGCCAGGCTCGACACGAGGGGGATCCGATCCGCCGTTATATAGACGCTGTCTTAAAAAATGATCGGCCCCAGTATGTGCAGTTTTGGGGGCAGCTCTCGAGCTGCCATGCCCTTACCGCCACCACTACGAAAAAAAGCTTCTGTCAATCCATTCTTCGTTTCAAGAAAGACTGAGAAGATCGGGCTTGTGTTAGACTGTCGTGAAGCTAACAAGTTTTTTAGGCACTCTCCCTTCACCGAAATAGCTGCGGCGGAGAGCCTCAGCTCGGTCGAAGTCCCAGAAGGCAGGCAGTTGTTCAGTGCATGCGCAGACATCCAGTGTGCGTTTTATCAGTGTGGCGACATTCGGGATCTATGCCAGTACTTCTGCCTCCCGAAGATCAGCCGGGCCGAGGCTCTCCGTGCAGGTATCTCGCTGAAGGATCTAGACGACTCGAGCGACTTCGTCTACCCCGCTATGAAAGTTATGCCGATGGGTTGGTCGTGGGCGTTCTGGTTTGTTCAAAGTCTTCACCTCGAAATTGCCTGGAGGTCTGGGGTCCCATCGGCAATGGTCGCGACTGGATCGTGGCCCCTGAGGCCCCAATCGAGGTCCCGTCTTCTGACAATATAAACGTGTTCGGCCTGGAGCCTGGCCCTGTTCTGGAAACCCGGAATCGCATCGTCGCTCAGTTCGAGGCCGAGGGGTTCACCATGCATGACATCCGAGGTGTCCTCCGACTGCGTCGTGTTGGGAGCTGATGTGGGTGGTGCCGAGCCCTGTACCTGTCGTAACCTCAAGAAGTTGTTAGTTTTACGTAAGGCGCTGTTCTGGCTTGCGTCCGGGCCCTATGTGAGTGGCCGCCAGCTTGAAGTTATTCTGGGGCATTACGTCGCCGCCTGTCTCCTCTGCCGTCCGGGGTTCTCCGTCATGCGAGCTGTGTATGAAGTTGTGAGATCATCATACGACACGCCCCTGGTGCTCTGGAGGAGTTGTCGCTACGAGTGTTGGTTGATGGCGGTCCTCTGTATTCACCTCCAGTCGCCTCTCTCTTTGCCGTGGGCTTGCGAGGTCGTGGCCACCGACGCCTCCCCGTCCGATATGGGTGTCACCGAGGCCACGGTTCCTCGGGACGTCGTGTCGCAGGCCGGAAGGTGGAGGGAGAGATGGAGGTACCGCCGTCTGGAGCCATCGGAGTGGGCGCCCCGTGCTAGAGCCCTCGATGGCTTGGATAAGATCACGTTGCCGCACACTGCTTGGGAAAACCCGTCCGAGCGAGGATGGAAACATGCTATTGGCTTCCCGGAGGTCCCTCCTGATATCCTCGACGCCCGCTTTCGTGTTGTGTATGCTGCACCTTTCAAGTTTTCGGAGCACATCGGTGTCAAGGAGGGTCGTGCAAGGGTGTGGGCCATGCGTCGTGACGCCAGGAATCCGAGTCGTCATTGTTCCAGCAGGCTGTACTTGTTAGACACTTTCTGGGTTGTGCTCGCTCTGGAGAGGGGGAGGGCCACTTCGCACGGCCTCCTCCAGATATGCCGGCGTGTCGCTGCTCTGTCCATCGCCAGTTGCATTTTGGCTTGATCCCGACGGATCCCATCAGAAAAGAATCCCGCGGATCCGCCCAGCAGGATCTGGGAGAGGCGCGAAGCCTGGCCGTCCCTCGGGCCACATGCTAAGCCCGCTCAGCGTGGCTGGAAGGACTTCGCCTTGCCCGTAGGACAGGCCCGCGTGCGCCTTGACGGTCAGGCCGGCCCGGCTCACCGTGCGCAAGAGGCCCGCAGGACGCCTCGAGGGGCCGCCGGTGCCGCTGCGGCGTCCGGCGGCCGCGCCAGTGCCGCTGCGGCGTCTGGCTGCTGCGCCCGGCCGAGGCAAGCGTCGCCCTCGGCTGCAGGCAGCCCTCGCGGCCAAGCGGACCTCTCCGGCGACGGCCACGAGCCTGTCGGCGTGCGAGCAGGCCGCCGTCGGGCCCGGGGCCAGGCTCTCCTACCAGAAGTACTACGACGCCTTCCTCGCGTTCGTGGGGGAGCCGGCCGAGGATCTCGACGAGCTCGAGGTGCAGGTGCTGTCGATGCTGGACACGTTCCTGGACGCGGGATGCACGAAGGCCGACGCCGACTTCCTCGTTGCGCCCGTCAAGGACGCGCTGCCGAAAGCGACTGGGCCCAGGACACTTCCCCGGGTCCAGAGGGCGCTCAAGGGATATGCAAAGAAGTCGCCGCCAAGGTCGAGAGCGCCGGTCCCCCTGGAGGTCGCCGCCGCGGCCATCTCGGGTCTCCTCTCGTTGGGGGAGCGGGACGCGGCACTCCAGGTGATGACGATGTTCAGCACGTTCATCCAGCCGGGCGCGCTGAGGAAGGTGCTCGTGAAGAACCTCCTCCGGCCCACGCGGGCCGGGGGCGCCATGGGGACGTGGTCGCTCCTCCTCGCGCCGACCGAAGGAGACCCCCTGGCGCCTCTGAGGGAGGGGGGAGCTCGGCCGAGGCCGCTGACCAAGACGGGCACGTCCGACGAGGCGGTGCCCCTCGACAACCCGCAGTGGCTGGGGCCGTTGCTCGCGCGACACGCCCACGGCCGCCAGAATCATTCCCCACTCTTCACCACGGAGGGCGGCGCCATGGCCGTGCTGTTCCGCAAGGTCACCGCGGTCCAGGGCCTCCAGGACGTGTGACGTGTGCGCATGTACCAACTGCGCCACGGCGGGGCGAGCGAGGACGTCTTGACTGCTAGCCAGACCCTGGCCGAGGTGAAGACGAGAGGCCACTGGAGCCAGGACAGCAGCGTCAAGCGCTACGCCAAGCCCGGCATGGTCGAACAGCTCCTTGCGGCGCTCTCGCCGGCTGCCAGGGCGCATGGAGAAGTTCAGCGGACGCGGCTCGAGGACCTGTTTGCCGGTCGGGCGCGCGCCTCGTGGCCAGTGCTGTAGCGGCCATCGAGCCGCGGGGCGAGTGCGGCCCTCGCGGTGGTCTCGCGCAGTACCCGAGAGTGACAAAGTTTGCGAATGAGATCGGAGTTGAGTTGATGGCGGGCACCCGCAGGATTTCAGCCGCCTGTGTTCGTGCGGGGTTGGCTATGCGATCGTACGAATATGCCGACTCCACCTTTGAAGACGCTGCCCACCCGGACGTTTGCTAGGGCTCGCTGGGCGCGGGCTCAAAATCGTCTGGGTTGGCCTTGTCTGCACGTCCTGGTCCCGTGCGAGGCGCAATCCTCGCCCGGGCGGGTGGCCAGGGCCGATCAAGTCTCGAGAGTACATACTGGGGCTGCCAGGGCTGCCTGGAAAAATTCAGAAAAGTAGAGCTGGGCAAATTCCAAGCCAATTGGGCCGCCAATCCGGTCTCCCGACTTGCTGCACTCGGCGTCCCCGTCATGATCGAGAAACCCCAGGGATCTATGCTGTGGCTTCACCCTGGGTTTGGGTCCTTGGAGCAGAAATACAACATTGCCGACTGGGACCACTGTGCTTTTGGATCTTGCTATCGAAAGAGAACCCGTTTGCTGTATGCCAATTGTGTGTTGGATCCCCTGGGCTCAGATAAGTGTCGGGACCATGGAATATGTTCTTACACTCAGCAGCCTCATACGGAAGTGGCGGGCAAAGATGTTGATGGCACATCCCACTCTTCGAAAGCGTCGGCATATCCAGTAGAGTTCTGTGATAAGGTCGCTCACCGACTCTGCCACCCGTAAATCGTGTTGCTTAAATTGCCGCCTCTGGGTATTTGTTCCTGTTGACTTTATGATTACCCTCCCTCCCCCCCCGGTTCATTTATGAAAATGGGTTTGGGCTAAGAGGCAGCTGCGTGAGCAGCGCTGGGCTTTGTTCGACAGTAAACAGCTGTTCAATTTTCCCGTATAACTGACTCTGCTGGCACTGGAAAGAGGGATACACTCATCATCAAACACGTGGCCCTGCGTGCTGGTTAGTGTGTTCTCGAGTGTCTCCATTCCGTTGCCATTTTTGGACTCGAATCCAGAAACTTGAAGCGGTTGTCCCTCCCTGCCCTCCCTCTCTCCTCTCCTCTGCTGGCAAGTGTTTCCCCTTGCTCACAGGGGCTTGGAGGCGGCTGCTTGCGAAGCGCTGGGCATTGTTCGACAGTACGCAGCTGTTTAACTTTCCGAAAGCGCGCCAATGGCTGGCCCTGAATGCACAAAGGGGGGGGGTGCTCGCACCCCCCCCCCTTCCCCTCCTTCAAAGGGGGAGTGAGGTTTTCGACCCCCCCCCCCTCCCCCCCTTGGCGCTGGAAAGGGGGCGGGGTTCGACCCCGCCCCCCCCCTTCCCCCTTTGCGCCGAACAGGGGGCTGGGGAGGGGGCCTCTCGGGTAGTGAGTAGGGAGTAAAGTGTTTTGAGTAGCGATTGGTGAGTAGTGCGTATTTGATAGTGAGTAGCGCGCAGTGAGTCGTGAGTGGTGAGTAATGAGTAGTGGGTAATGGGTGGTGGAAGTAGTGAGTAGCGCGTGGAGAATCGTGAATAACGAATAGAAAGTAGTGGGTAGTGAATAGCGGGAAGGAAGTAGTGAGTCAAGATTGTGAATAGCGAGTAGGGAGGAGTGAGTAGCGTGTAGAGAGTAATTCGTAGTGAGTAGCAAGCAGGGAGTAGGGATGACGGAGTAGACAGTAGAGAATAGCGAGGAGTGAATAGTGAGTAGTGAGGAGTGAGTAGTGCGCAGTGAGTAGAGAGTAGTGAGTAGTGAGTGGTGAGTAGCGAGTAGCGAGTTGGGAGTAGCGAGAAGGGAGTAGCGAGTAGTGAGTAGTGAGTAGCGAGTAGGGCGTTGTGAGTAGTGAGTAGTGAGGAGGGAGTAGTCAGGGGTCACTAGTGAGTAGAGGGTAAGGAATTGTGCGTAGCGAGCAGGGGGTAGCGAGTAGTGAGTAGTGAGTAGTGAGTTGCGAGTTGGGAGTAGTGAGTAGTGAGTTGGGAGTAGCGAGTAGGGAGTAGGTAGTAGCGACTAGTGAGTAGTGGGAGCGTACTGAGTAGTGATTAGTGAGTAGTGAATAGTGCGTATTGGGTTGCGAGTAGGGCGTAGGGAGTAGCGAGTATTGAGTGGTGAGTATACTTTGTAGCGAATAGTGGATAGCGGGTAGCGAGTAGTGGATAGTGCATAGTGAGTTGTGGGCAGTGAGTACTGAGTAGTGAAGTGTGGGTAGTGAATAATGGACAGTGGTTAGCGGGTAGGGAGTAGCGATTTGGGATTAGTGCTTAGTGGGGATAAATTGTGTTTAGTGAGTAGTGAGTATTGAGTAGTGAGTAGTTTGTAGTGAATAGTGACTTGTGGATTGTGAATAGAGAGTACTGAGTAGTGCGTCGTGGGTAGTGAGTCGTGGGTAGTGAGTAGTGAGTCGTGAGTTCTGAGTAGTGAGTAGTGAGAAGTGAGTAGCGAGTAGTGAGTTGTGAGTAGTGACTAGTGCGTAATGAGTAGTGAATGCTCTTTGGGGCTAGGGTTTGGGTTTGGGGCTCGGAATAGGGGTTAAGGTAAAGGTGAGGATGGAAGTTAGGGGTGGTAGGGGTCGGGTTCCGGACACTGGGGGCGCCGTGGCGAAAGGGGGGGGGGGAGTTCGAATTTGGCGGCCAAAGGGGGGAAGGGGGGGGGGGAGGGTTCGGACCCCCCCACCCTTTTGAAAGGGAGAGGGGGGCGGTCCCCGACGACGGACCAGGACAGGGGGGGGGGGATCCCCGACGACGGATCGGGAAAGGGGGGGACGGGGAGGGGGGGGTCCCCGACGACGGATCGGGGAAGGAGGTGGGGAGGTCCCCCCCCCCTTGGGGTCATCCAGCGGCGCGCCCTCTAACTTTCCCGTATAACCGAGTCTGCTGGCACCGGAAAACAGGATACACTCATCAAACACATGATGGTGATGATGACATGCGAAGAGCAGACGCAGGGATGGAAGGAGGGAGGAGGAGGACGAGAAGGAGGAGGAGGAGGAGGAGGAGGAGAGAAAGGAGGAACGTGGGGCGCTGTCTCGTCAAAACAAGGATCCAACACCACAGGATGGGTGGGAACAAGCATATGCACCGACCCTTGCCTGAACCATCCTCGGCCCAGGCTGGATCTGGCCAGAGTCGGTGCATGTGCCTATGTATCACCGCCCAATGAAACGGGCAGCGGGGCGTTTTGTTTCGCGCTGGGATGGCCGCCGGTGATGCTAATCATGGAGATCGGGATTTCATATGATGGAAGCTGAGGTGGGGTATATCTGGCAGGTGCG